CACGGTCACTTAACGTGTTCGTTTTGCGGTTACGTGAGGCACTGCATGCATTGGTCTTTATTCTTACAGTAGAGAAGTCATTAATTATAACTTTTTGTGAATTGGGACATTTAACCTTGCTTTTTTTTTAATTCCAATCTAAATTTAGTAGGAGTCGGAGTCGGTGCATTGTTTGCCGACTCCGACTCCAGGTACCCAAAATTTCCTCCGACTCCTCGACTCCGACTCCGCAGCCCTGTTTGCAAGTAGATGGTAGGCTTCACACATCGTAGTCTTCAGTGCATCTTATCGGAATTGTTCATAGATTATGACACAAAGAGTAACTGCAACAGTGCAGGCTGTTTTGGAACCTGCATACGTTCAAGATGTGTTTCCAGAATTGAGAGCTTTGCTATAAAGACTAAAAAGCAGGAAACTACTGACCTATAATTCTCAGCACCCACAATTAAAATGGTGCATGCCACGGGATATTGGATGCTGTAGTTACGTCAAAATAGGAGGGACTTAAAAAATAGCCACGATTGGAGTAAAGGTGGTTACCATACAACTCAAATATGTGCATTCTGGATACATTTCACCATATTTACCTGGTTTTAACTGAGAAATGTTAAATCACCGAATACCTGTAGTTTGTGTTCATAGAGATGATAGGCCAATGAAGATTGCAGTAGGTTGGAATGGGTTGATTCTTGTTCAAATTATTCTAAGGGGAATGAGGATGAAAGTATGTTAGATCATCAAAAGGGGGAAGGATAACAAGAGCGTAGTGCTGTGAGCTACCCAGGGCTGTTTCATAAGATGAATTGCCATATAAGTCAAATAAATAAATTATAAAATGGAAGGATTCAGGTAAAGTTTCCCTGTCCAGTTGTGTCTGACTCTACAGCGCGGAGCTCATCTCCCACTTCTTGACTGAGGGAGCCAGCATTCTCTGAAGACATCTCCCTGGTTATGTGGCCAGCATGGCTATATGCCAAAGGCACATAGAATGCTGTTAACTTTCCACCAAACTGGTACCTATTAATCTACTTGCGTTTACATGCTTTCAAACTGCTAGGTGGGCTGGAGCTGAGGCAAGTAGCAGGAGCTCACCCCGTCATGTGGCACTTGGGTCTTGAACCCAAGCTGTCAGCAAAAATTCAACAGGAAGGGCAAGATATACTGAGTCTTGTAGCATGACTCTTAAGTAAGTATAGTATCCAATTTCCAAAACCATCTCTAAGGATTACCTGATTTCAAAACTATCACTGGCGTTTATATTGATAGGGGTTATCTTGAGATGGGGGTGAATTGTGCATGTTCCAAGGAAAGAATGTAGTAATGAGTAACTTCAAATACCCTATAATAAATGCACGTTGTAGCCACACTGACAGAATTTCTAATTGGTATGCCATTCGCTAATAATAAAGCAGAGGGGACGTGACAGTTTTTAATCTAACCAGGATTAAGGTAACATGTGAAAGGTAAATATTTTTGAATTAATGATAACACTATTACCAACTTTTAAGTAAAAAACTTAACTTCCAACACAAAGGCATTTTGTGCTGAAAGATGAAATGTCATAAGGAAGCTGAAAGGGAAGCGTAGACAAATCTCTGAAATCTTTAAGGCAGGAGCAGACGAGCTTTTATAGACTAGGGGCTGCATTTTAATAACTATTTAATAACTATTCAGGATGGAGAGTTCCTGGCCTACAAGAAGGCATCACAAAGTTCTAAGCAAACTACAGGTTACCTATTTTTGGTTTGAGTTACATCACAATAACTCAGAATATACAGTATGCTGTGTAGCAGAAATAGTGATAGTGGAAAGGGAAATATTCAAATGTTCACAGAAGAAATGAAAGCTATTTTTTTAAAATTGGTTTAAATTATATGTTATGTTCCTTGGAAAATGTATAGCAAGATTCACATCTTCATCCTGAGATTAAACTGAAAGCTGGATTGCAATGATCACAACTGTGTTTCCATCAAAACCAATATTGTTAATTGCAACTTTCTGAATTTTTCTCCAAATTAAAGAGGCCATCAAATGATACAAGATTAAAGGTTAGGCTGATTTTTTTCAGAAAGGACAATATTCTGTATAAAAGATATATTTACTACCTCTGACATCAAGGCCTTTAACTTCCAGAGTACAAGGGCTTGAAATGTTTCTCCACAACTGTCCAGTGTAGTTTACAGTGATACTCCACTTTGTTGTCTGGGGAAATGGCATATGCTGAATTCTTGCAATTTTGACTAGCTGTGTGTTGTTTTAACCCAGCGGTTCTCAACCTATGGGTCGCGACCCCATTTGGGGTCGATCGACCATTTCACGGGGGTCGCCAAGCAAGGCTGTCCGCCATTTTTTTCCCCTTTTCTGGCGGGTGCCTTACCTCCCTTGAGCTGGGCCAGCTGGTGGTCGGCCTGCTCCGTCTCTGCCGCTTGCCAGCTACGCCTTGGCCGGCGCAGGGGGCGGAACCACGCATGCGCGGCACTCCCGGGCAGGGAAAGTCCTCGACTTACGATCGGTTGGGTAGTCCTCAACTTACGACCGGTTTAGTCCTTGACTTACGACCGGTTTAGTCCTTGACTTACGACTGGTTTAGTCCTCGACTTACGACCGGTTGGGGGTCGCGGCATTAAAAAGGTTGAGAACCACTGTTTTAACCATTTAGTCGTGTCCAACTCTGGGTGACTTTATAGGTAAGTGCTCTCCATGCTTCCCTGTCAAACACAGCTTCTTTCAATTGTTGCATGTTCAACTTTGTATCAGATCAGCTGTGTGTACCTAACCTAATTTAATTTGTCAAATCCTAAGAGCAAAGCATGCCCAGGAAGCAAATAGCAACAGCTTCAGCAAACCACAATGATGTCAAAATGACACATAGTAGCCTTTGTGCGATGTTATTAAGCATATTTTGTCATTTGCCCACCCCTTGCAAGTGCCAAGAAGGGCCTGGGGAATGAGTTCAAGCAGCTGTCATTTTCAGGTAGGTCAAGAGGAGAATGGGGCAGAGATGCAAAATAGCTTCTTGGTGTTGGTTGTTGGGCTTCCCATCAGCAAGACCTGAATTGGCAGTTTGAGTTCCCTTTCCATTTTGGGGTACTGTGATCCATGCCAGACCCATCTGGCCCTAAGTAGTTCCATCACCATACAGCAGTGGAAGACCTGGCTGGCTTGGCAGTTCCTGCTGAAACCACTGCTTTACAAAGGAGCAATACCAACTGTCTTCTCAGGAAGCCATATTTAGTGCTAAGGTGGAGGGCTGCCCAGAGTGAAGAGGAATCCTGTTGCTATGCTACCTGATGCCCAACACCACGGGTGTCAAACTCGCCACGTCACGTGACGTGTTGCGATATATCGCAACTTTTTTTGCATTGCTGGAGCTGGGGTGGGCGCGGTCTCCGCATGATGCAACCGGCCCGCGGGCCTGCAGTTCAACACCTCTGCCCAACAGCATCTTCTCTGCTGAGCTGGCAGAAGCCACAAATACAAAATAACAAGAGTTGAAAGGGAACTTTGAGGTCTTCTAGTCCAACCCCCTGCTCAAGCAGCAGACCCTAGACAAATGGTATAGGGTCCAGCCTCTTCTTTAAAAGCTCCAGTGATAAGAGCACCCACAACTTCTGAAGGCAAGCCGTTGATTGTTCTCGCTGTCAGAAAATGTCTCCTTAATTGTAGGTTGAATCTCTCTTTGATAGGTTTCCATCCGCTACTTCTTATATTGCCTTGAGGTGCTTTGGAGAATAGATGGATCCCATCTTCTCTGTGACAGTGCCTCAAGTACTGGAAGGCAGTCAACCCTGGTCCTTCTCTTCTTTAGATTAGATGTACCCATTTTGTGTAACCCTTCTTCATATATTTTAGTCTCCAGATCCCTAATCATAATAATAATAATAAAGTTGGAAGGGACCTTGGAGGTCATCTAGTCCAAGCCCCCCGCTCAGGCAGGAAACCCTATACCATTTCAGACAAATGGCTGTCCAGTCTCTTCTTAAAAACTTTCAGTGTTGGAGCATTCACCCCTTCTGGAGGCAGGTTGTTCCACTGGTTAATTGTCTAACTGTCAGGAAATTTCTCCTTAGTTCCAGGTTGCTTCTCTCCTTGATCAGTTTCCATCCGTTGCTTCTTGTCCTCCCTTCAGGTGCTTTGGAGAATAGCTTGACTCCTTCTTCTTTGTGGCAGCCCCTGAGATATTGGAAGACTGCTATCATGTCCCCCCTCGTCCTTCTCTTCATTAAACTAGACATCCCCAATTCCAGCAGCCTTTCCTTACATGCTTTGGCCTCCAGTCCCCTGATCATCTTTGCTCTTCTGCAGTTTCCAGGGTCTATCAGCATTTTTTTTTTATATCGTGATGACCAAAATTGGATGCACTATTCCAGTGTGGTGAGCATCCGGGCTCAGCTGGCAGAATCCCAGGATAGTTTTCTGTTCTCCAGGGATGCCCTCCAACTGAGAGGCTGCGACTCCCCTCATGCCCAATCATGGGCAGGGGGTTATGGGAGCTGAAGTTCTGAAGTCCAACCCAGTCTAGATGAATGTTTTTTTCAACCTTGGCAACTTTAAGAATGGGTGGACTTCAAGTCCCAGAATTCCCTCAACCAGCATGAGGTCCTATGCAGTGCGCACTTCTGGATTCTCCTCAGGTCAGAAGTAGGCAACCTCGGCTCTTTTATGACTCATGGACTTCAACTCCCAGAATTCCTGAGTCAGCTATGCTGACTCAGGAATTCTGGGAGTTGAAGTCCATGAGTCATAAAAGAGCCGAGGTTGCCTACCCCTGCCTCAGGTCCACCAGCGCTCCCCAAAAGCGCGCGCTCAGGTTGGGCATTCCCTCCCTGCAACAGGAGAACGGCATGGGCGTGGCTAACGCCCCCTTCGCCTCGCCCCGCCCTCAGGTAGCGCCCTCCTTTCCGCTCTCTGGGACGCCCTCCCGCCGCTTTGGCTCTGATGGCGTCATCTCCTACGCGCCGCTCCGGCACTTTCCCCCTCCCTTCGGCAGCGAGCTTTTCGAGTCGCTTCGGAGTGACGCCCTCTTCCTTTTCCGGCTTGGGCTCGCGGCGTGTGTGGAGGTGAGGCGAGGCCTAGCCGGGTTCGCGGCGGCGCCTTTTTATTCTCGCCGCCTTCCCCGGGCTGGTCGGGCCACGGCGGGAAGGGGGTGGTGGTGCGGTGCGAGTGTTTCTAGGTTTACTGCGGGGCGGGGAAGGAAAAACGTGCCCGCGACCCTCCTCTCCCCAATGCTGCCTATGCAGAAAGCCAAGCCCCATTAAGAGGGTAGAGCCTAGGGTGGGAAGGGCCCCTTGAGGTCATCGAGCCCAACCCCCTGCTACTGCAGGGATTCCAAATTAAGGTATCCCAGACAGCTTCATTTGTTACATTTCTATCCTGTTTTCCCCGTCTAACGACTGCCTGGCCGTCCCTCCCACGTTTCCTGCGAAGGGGAGCCCCCCACCTCCCTGGGTTCCTCTTTAGAAAGCAAATAAAACTTGGCTTCTCGGGTATATTTTCCCCTCACGTTGATTCTGCTTTCCTGTATCTTGGATCCATCCTTTTTGGTCTGCATTCAGACCTATAGAGAACAGATCCTGCCCTTTCCTATCAGATCCAGCCAGGTATCTATCTGATCGATGATGTGAGATATCTCCCATCTTTCCAGTTCAAGGCAAATGCGGGTTAGGGTTTGGTTTTTTTTTAATGGCAACTATGCATATGTTGTATATAGTATGTTTAGGTGCGTGTTGTGTATGTGTTCACTTTGAGAGCGGGCAACTAAATTTCATTTTTGGCGTGTGCCGTTGTGCCCACAGTAAAAAAAAATGACAATAAAGGTTATCTATCCATCCTTCCTTCCTTCTCTCCATCCCATCTCCTTCCTTCCTTCTCCCCATCCAGTGGTGGCGAAACTATGGCACGGGTGCCAGAGGCGGCACTCAGAGCCCTCTCTGTGGGCACGCGCGCCGTCGCCCCAGTCCTAGGCCTTCAGCTGGGTTTTATAAAACCTTTTCGCTTCAGGCCTCCGCCGCCGTGTGCAAAAAAAAAAAAAGGTTCAATCAATCAGTCAATTTCAACTTCTCTGGGGGGGGGAAAGATCTTGCAAAGTTGGAATTGATTGATTGAACTTTTTAGTCCCACCCATCTGCCGTTACCACCGCAGCCGTGCCCACTGAATGGGCCACACCCACCCAATTGGCCACACCCACCCGGCACCCGACGATGCATAAGTGGGTTTTGGGTTGCAGTTTGGGCACTCGGTTTCTAAAAGGTTCGCCGTCACTGTCCCCATCCCTTACTTACTTACTTACTTACTTAGGGGAAATCTTGAACTAGCGTCTGTGATCAACAAGCCCATCCTTTCTGCTTCACTTAATGCTCAAGGAGACATGAGAATCTAGAAAATGGGGTTGAACAATGGGAAAGCATCCCCTGCTTGTCCATGCATGTCATAGAACTGGAGCTTTTGAGAAAACCCTTGATATAAGAAATATAGAGAGGGTTTGCAGATTTTTATACTCCAGTTTATGAGTTTTGTTTCCTAGAAGCAGATACAGCAGAGCAAATGAATGCAGCTACTCTATAGCCTGTTGTTTTCCACATATATGCAGGGCTTTTTTTGGTCATAGAACGCCCAGAATGGAGTTCGGGCACCTTTTTTGGATGGAACCTTGTTGGGTAGGCAAGGCGGGTTGTATGATGTGTGTGAGTTCCTGCACCTTTTTTTTTTAATTACAAAAAAAGCACTGCATATATGTATCTATAATTTCTGTAGTCTTCAGAGTGGCTGGTAATTGTGCTAGCCAAGGAAAATGAGGAAATACTTTAGTGTCTTCCTGCTTACACCTGTGAAAAGAGAAGGAGCTTTTTTTTTTTTTTTAGTAAGGATGGGAAAGAGCCTGTATCCCGCCATTCATGTATCTCAAGTGTTATTAAATACAGGATTATCTTAATGGGATAGTAATGGCCAGCTGGGTACAATCTTGTTCCCAAAAGATGTATAAGCCAACATTAACAATCCCAATTTCTATCCTGTAAAGTTATGTGCAAATGGACAGCTACAGATAATATTTTCAAAGTTACAACATCACAGAAAAAAGTGACAGGACTGTTTTTCACACTCACAGCCCTTGCAGCATCCCCATGGTCATGTGATCAAAATTCAGGCGCTTAGCAATGGGAATATATTTATGACAGTTACATTGTCCTGGGGTCATGTGATCACCTACCCAGCCAGCTTCTGACAAGCAAAGTCAATGGGGAAAACCAGATTAGCTTAATAACTCCATGATTTGCAATAATCTTTTTAGAAATCTCCTGTTGCACCTGATTTGAGGCAAATAAAAGAAGCATAATGCAGAACGACGCTGGGGAGTTTGTAGATCTCTACGTGCCTCGTAAATGGTGAGTATATCTGATCATCAGAAATTGTGTATATTCCTTAGGTGGTTTGAAAGCTGATATGGCTGTATTATTACTTATTTGATCTTACACAGGATTCCAAATCAGGACTCTTACGTGTCTTACATTCCCTTCTAGTTCAATTAAAATAGTAAAATGGAATAACAAAACTAACAATCCCAAAAACAGTAGTATAGAAAAATTATAAAGACTACAGCCCCATGGAACAGTAAACGGCAAAACAGGTGCCAGGTTGTACAAATTGTCCATTGGGGTCTTTTAAAAAATCCAAAGTTTTATGGCTCTCTAAAGCTCAACACTGTAAATATAGTCTGGTAATCTGGTAAAATAATCTTAACCAGGAAAGTGCCAGCTTCAGCCTCTTATGTGTAAAATACAGCTGGCAGGATATCTGGATTTATAAGGATTGGGAGGGGCAGTTCAGGCCCTACTTTCCAACTTCCATCTCAACACATCTGGTGAAGGGAAACCATCACTTTTCTGGGTAGTTGTTTCAAACTGCTGTAAGTACCTATAAAGGAGAATATTTGTAACTCGGGGTTGAAATGGGTCTTTGATGCCCTCTGTGCTTGATTATGTTGTTGCAGATGTTTCATTATCCAAACTAGTGCCTGTGGCAGTGATTATATTTCCTAGTTTGAGTAATGAAACATCTGCCAGAAAGCAACCAAGCTCAGAAAGCATCAAAGACTTCTCACTGCTATAAAGCAAATTATTTGCAAGCTGAGCTCACCATCCTCTCAGTACTTGGGGAAATTAATTTGAGCCAATCACAGATGGCTTTGTGCTTTTTTACTTCCCCACCTATAGTTTTTGCCCGAAGAAGTTATTGTAACATGTTCAGATGGCCCAACAAAGCAAATTTGGGACAGTTTGGTTCAGTTATTCCATGAATGAAAGCCAACAGTATCATGCCTCATATTTCCAACTAGGCCATCAGGCTCCTTTGTTTTGTGTGGTGAGAATCTTGCCTTGATGGCTACCTTCTCTCTCATTTCTTTTCCACCGTAGCCACAAAGTACTTTTTATTTATGTAGATGTTTTTAGCCTGCCCTCTTTAGTTTTATAAATTATTCAAGGTGGCAAACTTACATAATACTCCTTCCTCCTCCTATTTTCCCCACAATAACCCTGAAAGGTGAATTGGACTGAGACTGACCTAAAGTCAGCCAACTGGCTTTTCTTCCTAAGGTGGGACTAGAATTCACCGTCTCCTGGGGATTGGCCCAAAGTCACCCAGTTGGCTTTCATGCTAAGGTGAGACTAGAACTCACAGTCTCCTAGTTTCTAGTCTGATGCCTTAACCAGTAAACCAGGGGTAGGCAACCTTGGCTCTTTTATGACTTGTGGACTTCAACTCCCAGAATTGGCTTAGGAATTCTGGGAGTTGAAGTCCACGAGTCATAAAAGAGCCAAGGTTGCCTACCCCTGCACTAGACCAAACGGGTTAGTTAAATTTAGTTAAGATGAGAGAAAATCATAAAATATTACTGAAAATACCTTGTTTATATTAGTTATAGCTAAGATTAGCAGTTTGTCCAATTTTAGATTATAAAATAAAACTGTTTATTTTTAAATGGAAGCAAGAGCTTTCAATATTATGTGGACCCTCCAAAATAGAGAATTGCAAACTTCAAAAACATTGGAACATGGGTTAGCTTTATACCCAAATGAGCGCTCTGCTATAGATGAAAAATTGTTTTCTTCTCGGGAAAGATCTTTCACAAGAGTGCAGTAGCTTTCTGATTCATGATTTTAACTCAAATTATATTGTATCTTAATTGGGCATTATGTTGTATTCCGGTGGATTACACATGCACAGAGAGATTTGCTTTGTTATACTAGTAGATACTTCTATATGCATAATTTACAATTGTAAAAAAAAGTAATTATAAGGAGGAATCTGGCGTAACCTTTTCTGACTAATAGAGTTCATTAAAAGGCATAAAACATAACCTTCAGCTTGTGAAAAATTATATGTGTAAATTTGTTAGGAAAAGGGGTTCCTGATTTTATGTTACCGTAGATTAGCATAGCTGCCCTCCTACAATGTCTTAATAAGAGGGATTCTGGGTTTTTTTTTCTTGTGGTGGGAACTTCTGCTAAAAGAGTGGTAAATTGGCATATCAAGAAATGGAATTAATGCTACATGATGTGAGTTATCTAGAAAGATAACAGCATTTTTTCTAGACCAGGGTCTGATTTTAAGTTCTTCTGTTTATATATTTCTTTCCCTTCAGCTCTGCTAGCAATCGGATAATTGGTGCTAAAGACCACGCTTCCATCCAAATCAATGTTGCAGAAGTAAGTAAAATATCAATACTCCAAATTTAAAGCCATTCGTGTTTCAAATAAAATAAACAACTTGTTGCAATTGCCTAGTAAAAAAATATTTTTACTTATTTGGGATAATAGATCCCGGGTGTATGGGCATTAGGCATTAAGCTGTATTTCCTAATGCAGGCAAACAAAACCACAGCTTGATTGTTATGTAATAACAAGTTGTTAAATCAAAAGCTTCCAGAACACAAACAGAAACCTAGCAATGAAACAGGAAAGAATGAATATGATTAGAACAAAATATTGTATAACGGAGGTTGAAATCGTCATTTGTTGTAGGCTTCTTTTAAAGTTTAAAATGGGTCTTCAAACTTGGCCCTTTTATGATTTGTGTGCTGAGGAATTCTGGAAGTTGAAGTCCACAAGTCATAAAAGGGCCAAGTTTGAAGACCCCCTGGTTTAAAAATTACTTCAAACTTTGCCTTTTTTTCCGCTTTCATTTTGATGTGCTGTAGAATAGCCGTAACGAAAAATGATTCTTCTATAAATGGGACTTTTGCCCAAGTTTTCAATATTCCAGTGACTCTAGCCTTAAATGCATCTTTTCCTTTAAACCCGTTTGTTCGGGATGGGAATGGGCTTTGCCGAGTTGTCGAACTGGTTAGATATGTAGATATGTAAAACATAAAATGAACAGGTATATTCTGTGCCTTTCAACTTTCAGGTATGATTGTGTGACCCTCTTAACTGAACCTTCTTAATTCCAATGGCAGGTTGACAAAGCCACAGGCAGAGTGAATGGCCAGTTCAAAGCCTATGCCATTTGCGGAGCAATTCGTCGGATGGTAAGTCTAATGGTTTTTCAATGAGTCAAGAATTTGCCCATTTCTGAATGGTTTATAAATACAGGATGGGTAGTTTCACTCATTGCATTTATGCATATGTACGTCCATTCCAGTTCTTCTTGTAGCGGCTCAATTAAAGTGAAGACTTTAGGTCCTGGGATGAATGTCTTCTGAATACGGAAACTATTAGAGCAGTGGGTATATTACACTAGAAAGTAAATTTTCCACGTTTCTTTGGTATTACACAAAGAATGCATGCAGGAGATTTTGAGTACCATACATTAATATATCTCATAACGCTAGAGCTAGTTTGGTCTAGTACAAGGGGTCTTCAAACTTGGTCCTTTTATGACTTGTGGACTTCAACTCCCAGAATTCCTCAGCCAGGCACGCTGGCTGAGGAATTCTGGGAGTTGAAGTCCATAAGTCATAAAAGAGCCAAGTTTGAAAACCCCTGGTCTAGTAGTTAAGACATCAGGTTAGAAAGCAGGCGACTGTGAGTTCAAGTCCCACTCTAGCCATGAAGGCCAACTGGGTGACTTTGGGCCAGTCCCTCTCAGGCCAACCAACTTTCGGTTGTTGTGGATATGTTCACCGCCTTGAGTTATTTGTAAAAATAATAAAAGGCGGGACATACATACATAATAAAATAATATTGGGGTATAAAATGTTGCATCATGGAATGTTGTAACCACAAACAGACCGTCTTTCAAATTGTTCAAGAAACTGACAAACATTAGAATGGACTTGTTTCAAGGTCAAACCCCTTTAGGACTATGTTTATGGAAATTCTCAGTCATCCAGGTCGTGGTTGTCTCAGAGGTGCTTTTTCAAGAGGCAACTGGCTTTCTTCTGCATTCCCCACCATCCAGTCAAAGCTGAAGAAGCTTCTTGGATGAGAAACGAAACGTCTTCAAAGAAAAACAAGAAAGTCCAGTTGCCTTGTGAAAAAGTACCTCTGAGACTTTAGGACTATCCATTTCAGTGTCAATGTGTTGCTGTGGAATTCTTTATCGATCTTCACTGCACAAATACTACTTCTGTATTCTGGTTTTAGACTATTATAATTATAATTTTTTTAACTATAGGTTTTAAATCTTGGCAATTTTTCAATCTTAAAAACTTAGCAAATAAGTATACAATAGTACTTTATTCTTAAGGACGATACAAACTATTGCCCTTTTAGTTGCCGGTGAATTTCCTTTGAACAGTTTCCCAAATTCACCTAAGCATTTTCAGATTGAAATTCAGGGTATGAATTCAGTTTCTTCATCTTACCTAACTATAAAACTATTTTTCAGGGGGAGTCTGATGACTCAATTCTGCGACTGGCAAAAAATGATGGAATTGTTTCCAAGTAAGTCTGACATTTAAGTCTGGAAACTGCGATAATGCATTTTTCTTTTCTGTTTTGCTTGATAGCGCATAATGGATATCATATATTCTCAAAACATATGCCTTGGTGAAAAGGCTTATTTATTTTATTAAGTCTATATAGCTGCTCATCTCACAAAAAGTGATTCTTATAAAACTGAGGAGAAATTTCCTGACAGTGAGGACAATTAATCAGTGGCTTGCCTCCAGAAGTTCTGGGTGCTCCAACACTGGAAGTTTTCAGGAAGAGATTAGACAACCATTTGCCTGAAATGGTATAAGACGGGGGTCTTCAAACCTGGCCCGTTTATGACTTGTGGACTTCAACTCCCAGACTTCCTCAGCCAGCGTGCCTGGCTGAGGAATTCTGGGAGTTGAAGTCCACAAGTCATAAACGGGCCAAGTTTGAAGACCCCCTAGTATAGGGGTTCCTGCTTGTGCAGGAGTTTGGAGCTCCAAGGTCCCTTTTCAGCTCTATTATTATATTATCAGAAGGCAATCTAAAAACATTTCCCCACAAATTAACGTTGTCAGCTGCGTTCAAAGAAAACCAATATAAAATGTTTTACAGGTGGCATTTAGCACCGGCGAGAATTGCCATGATATATAAAAATATGAATCCGGACTGCTGGAAATGCAAAAATTGCTGGAAATGCAAAAATAAAGAAGGAACATTTTACCATATGTGGTGGCAATGCCCCAAAGCAAAGATCTATTGGGAGCAGATAAGGAGATGGATTCAGGAAATAACAAAACAGCAAATTGAACTTAAACCCGAAATATTTTTATTAGGCATAATCAATCCAAAAATGGAAAAACAATTTCAATACATCATTATACATATAATAACTGCAGCACGCATTGCATATGCGCAATGCTGGGAAAGGGGAAACATACCAACAAATGCAATGATTATATGTAAGATATTAGATTGTGCTGAGATGAATAAACTTACCTTAGAAATAAAGGGCAAAGAAGTTTCAGAATTTTATGAGATATGGGACATGTATTATAATTGGTTAGAATTGCGGAATAAAGAAGTATGAAAATGTAATGTAAATAAATGTAAATAAATGTAAGAGATATAGGACATAGTACTGTTAAGAAAAAAAGAAAAAATGTACTTTGTATTTTGTTGTTTGTAAAGAGAAAAAGGGGAAAAAAAACATTTTCCCTATAGTTACCCTCTGGGCATATTTTCAAATGTAGCATATGCAGCCAAGCATTATTTTATTTAAGAAAGTCAAATAGGGCAGGTTCCAGGGAGGAATTTCTGTGAGCCCATATCCTTAAATTTTGGGGGGAAAGTTAACCATTCTGTGTTTGGTTTTTGTCTTTGCAGGAATTTCTAACTGAAGAAACGTAATATGGGATTTCTTAGAAAATAAACCATTGGAAAACATGTGTTGTGCAGTGCGTCATTTCAAGGCACATAACAGGCAGAATACTTTACATGTGGATAATTTTTAAGTTCAAGGCATTATTGATGTGCATCGCTTTAAGAATGCAATCCTATTCGTAATTAACTTTAAAATAAATTCCATTGATTTCAGTGGCACTGAAGGCTGCCTAACTTTTCAGGCGGTGCAGCCTTCTGTATATCGCCTCTGCAGTAGGAAATAATTCCTTGAATGGGGAAAATGTGAACGGTTTATGTTGTGGAATAAACAGTAATTAATAAACAGGCCTTATTCAGAATAGCCATTTCTAGAGGTCCATTAATAGACTGTTAATGAGCAGGCCAAAACAGTTCATCTCCACTTGGTAAAGCCCAGAGATTCTGCACTGAGTTCATTGGAAAGAACCTGTAGTTAGTACTCTGTCTGCCCTTTATTTTTCACTCCTAAGATTCTAGCTCGGGGGTAGGCAACCTTGGCTCTTTTATGACTCATGGACTTCAACTCCCAGAATTCCTGAGCCAGCATGGCTCAGCTTGGAAACCTCTCCCTTTCCCCTCAGCATGGCTGGCTCAGGAATTCTGGGAGTTGAAGTCCACGAGTCATAAAAGAGCCAAGGTTGCCTGCCCCTGTTCTAGCTAATATCCATCATGTTCCATTTTAGATCATGTAAAAGGTAACGGTTTCCCCTATCCCAGGGGTAGTCAACCTTGGCTCTTTTATGACTCGTGGACTTCAACTCCCAGAATTCCTGAGCCAGGCTGGCTCAGGAATTCTGGGAGTTGAAGTCCACGAGTCATAAAAGAGCCAAGGTTGACTATCCCTGCCTTATCCAGTCAGGTCCGACTCAAGGGGATGGTGCTCATCTCCATTTCTTAGCCGAGGAAGCCAGTGTTGTCTGAGGACATTTTGGCAGTGATGTAGCCAGCATGACATCACAGAGCGTGTAGTAAAACATGGAGCACTGTTAAAACATATGTTTAACTATATTTGGCTTGGAAACTCCATATTACAGGTAGTCTCTGAACTTACGAGCCATTTTCATTGCTCGGCAAGGCGGTTCAATGAGTTATGCCTGATTTTAGGATCTTTTTGGCCATGCTCATTAAGCAAATCTCTGCAGTAAAATGAACCATGTGGTCACTAAGCAATTCCGGCTCCCATTGTGTTTACCTGTTGGGACCGAGCTGGGAAGGTCACAAACGGCAGTCATTATGATCTCATAATTCAACCATCATAAATACATGCCAGTTGCCAAGCGCCCGTATTTTGATCGTGCGACTTGTGAGCAGGCTACAATGGTTGCAAGTGCCAGGGGAGCAGGAAGAGGAGGGAGGCTGTGGTCCTTGGTGCTCTCTGAGCTTGGCTGTTTTCTTGAAGACGTTTCATTACCCAAACTTTGGCTCCCTCAGAGAGGGTTCACAACCTGGGTGTCCTGGATCCACGGCTGACACTAGAAGATCAGTTGACGGCCGTGGCCAGGGGGGCGTTTTACCGGGTACGCCTGGTTCACCAGTTGCGGCCTTTTCTGGACCGGGACGCCTTGCGCACAGTTACTCACGCTCTTGTCACCTCCCGCCTGGACTACTGCAATGCTCTCTACATGGGGCTCCCCTTGAGGAGCACTCGGAG